AGAAATATATATATCACATTCTCTGTTACGCACTCTCAGTCTCGGACTTCTGTTTCGGCTAGCCGGTGGCCCGTGTTCTATATTTACTAATTAGAATAATCTGAGAAGAAATCTTCAATTGCTCTTACGTTCTCTCGGGCTGACCCACCTATACATATATTAATTTGGGAACAAGTCCCAAATTACTCTCGGACTGACGGCGTAAAACTTTATTAACTTACTTATAAGTACGCCTACTCTTGTAGTTTCTCAACTTAGGCTGAACCACAACAAATAGGCACCAAAGTTACAACACAAGGGCTCAAAGCGGACCCATAAAAACAAAACGCATGATCGACTGGCCTCTGCCAAGAACTATAAGAGATTTACATCGAGCAGTCGGCCTAGCAAACTACATGCGGGACCATATACCCTAGTTGCACACATGATTAAACTCTTCCGCAATCTAATGAAATGGAAAATGAACCAGAATTTAGCAAACCTTTGGACACCTGAGCTCATTAAGAAATGGGAAGAACTCAAAGATGCTATCGCATGTTCAGCAACGTTGGTGTATTCAATAAATGGAGTACCGTTCCAAATCATGAATGATGCAAGTGATTATGGCATAGGACGCTGCCTATTTCAAATCATAGACGGGGCCAAACGAGGTATTCTCTATTTCATAGAAGATATACTCTATTTCTCAAAAGGCTTTTACCCCGCACAACAAAGATATGGGACGAGTACGAAAGAGTTACTGGCGCTGGTGTACAGTCTAGAACATTTTTCATTGTACATCAAGGCAGGTGACATAACACTTTGGACAGATCACAAAGCGTTATGCTAGATGAACCAACAGTAAACGCTCTACCCCATGCTCGCAAAGTGGATAGAAAAACATTACATCACCACTTCACAATCATCCATGTGCCAGGCAAAGACAACCAAGTTGCTGACATGCTATCACAATTACACGAGGATAGCTTAACATCAAAACATCCAATGTGATAAAGGGAATTAACGAAAACATACAACTAACATGTCCATACTTGGGTATCTACCACAGACAAGCAGTAGAACACAGATTTGAAAAGTTCACCATCGACTTATTCGCAGCAGCACACAATGCACATACAGCAAAGTTCTACACCAAAGAACAAAATGCATTACTACAAAAGTGGGCAGATGAAATAAACGCATGGGCAAATCCTCTCTGGGAGTTAATCCCAGATGTTCTTGACAAAGACATACAGGAAGCCACGAGCATCACAATATATGTACCCTGCTACCCAAATGCAACGTGGTTCCTAAATTCCTGTCACTGCTAGAACAAGACCCGATGATAGTCGAAAACCCGAACAACACGTTCCTGAAAGGCGGCACGACAGCCTGTGGCAAAACACTATGGGGGGTCACACTAGTAGTTGATCAAAAACTAGCACACCCAGCCATAGAAATCGTATCGGTACAAATCGAGGGCGAGTCGGCAAAGCTAGACACTGTTGTCACACGTGAAGACAGAGCCCACCTTATAGCTCAATACCACACTGTAGGCTACTACACCGTTGAAGAAACAGTAAACAAACTTCAATTAGATGGCCACACATGGTCACGCCAGAAAAACAAGTAACCCAATAAATTGAATGCTGTGTACCATGTATCAAGAGCAATATTCACAATAAGGGCTTTCACCCCTTACTGACGATCAATAACAGCCAATATATAAAAATCCAATAACCCATTTCCGGACGACAAGATACAAGTGGACACCATCGTTCCCTTGATAGACCTGAATAGAGACAGCCCATACGTTCTAGTTTGGCTCGATGTACATTCTTCATATGCCATACTTTGATCAATCTTCAATGATGGACAAATCAGTGGCAACTGTCGCACGAACACTAGTTTAAATCATGTGTGAACATAGCTTCCCACAAGTCATACAAACGGATCAAGGCACAGAATACGTAATTGACATACTCTCGAAAATCATCGAGCAAGCACTGTCACAACACCTAGTGTCCACCTAAGGTACTGGGAGCGAATGAGTATTCGCATAGAGACCTCATACCCTTACTGAAGAAATTCGGCGGACAAAACCCAGGCAACTGGTGTTCACGCCTTTCATTTGTTTAAATGGGCCTCAACCTATGTTGATCACGAAGACACAAATCACTGCGTCTTAATGCGTACTATGGACGAAGGCAAAAACCAACTAGTCAACTACAATACATCAGTCAATGCAACTGGTACAAGAGTACCATGAGAAATCAACTGAAAAATCTAGAAGAATCCATCGACCACAACTAGACACAAGTGTTGCATAATATCAAGAGACAATGCACGTATCAAAAGAGTATGTACACTTCCAGGAAGAGGACATTGTAATGGTTTGTCACCAAGGTGAAATGAATAAAATGACAGCACCATACGGAGGACCATGCAAAATAGTAAGCAAGGAGGGCAACGGGTATTTTGTCTGTGACCTTGATCTATATGGAAGGATGCGTTGGACCCCCTATTCGAGCGCTTTAACTCAGCACTCATCCAAGCAGCAGCCATCATCACGGGCACTAAATACCCTCGGTTTCCCAAACATCAAACCAACTTACTTCACTTTTGCGGCCTGCTCCCCACGCGACCATTCGCGGACTACTTCGGAGGTTGCCTGGGAATACAACTCGACTCAATGGCAAGCACAAATCCACTTACCCATCTGACGCAACCCGCCTGGGCCCACGATAAACCATCACTGCGCTTCCCGTACAGTATCTATGCTCACCTGAAAACTGTACACAAAACCACGGGCGGGCGTACACCCGACCATGTAGCCCTCCGGCAAGCACAAATCCACTTGCCCATCTGACGCAACCCGCCTGGGCCCACGATAAACCATCACTGCGCTTCCCGTACAGTATCTATGCTCACCTGAAAACTGTACACAAAACCACGGGCGGGCGTACACCCGACCATGTAGCCCTCCGGCAAGCACAAATCCACTTGCCCATCTGACGCAACCCGCCTGGGCCCACGATAAACCATCACTGCGCTTCCCGTACAGTATCTATGCTCACCTGAAAACTGTACACAAAACCACGGGCGGGCGTACACCCGACCATGTAGCCCTTCGCCAACGCTGTGACGACATCAGGAAGAACTAAACAAAACGTTGGTCCAACAAGGAGATCGCGGCAATGGCCTGGTGCCAATACTACTACCAACTGGTTATGGGTAAACTGCCAACCTCAAACCGTGACACAGCCAGACACGACAGCTTCAATCGCTGCTTCGAGTCTACACCAATCCGGCTCTGTGCTATGATTGTAACGAATACGTACATGTTCACATTGCTCGACTACCGCACCGACGGCTGTCTCTGCCCTGTCTGCCCTGGTAGCCACAAGTTCACTAACAGCCACTTTACCTACATCCAACAACTGATTCGACGCATCCTGGTAGGCCCGAAACTGCCGCCCATTGGCCCTGACCTCCTTCAGCAATTACAGGAGTGCCACGACTTCCATGGTATCTGGACCCTCCACGAACACCTTGGATCTTTTCTCCAGCATGTTGAAGAACCACCGTACCCTCACCCGTCCCTGACACATCAACAGATGTTCCTCATACC